TTTTACACTTGTAGGGAATGCGTTTCCTGCAGCTGAAAAATCCATGGAGTCATCTGCGTTGGAAGGGGCGCTACAGCGAGCGGGATGAGAAAAACTGGACGCCGGAGCTCCTTAAATACCTCAACTTTGACCCCAAGACGGCACAGAAGTTTGATAATGGTATATTCATGATGCTGCATACATAAACCTTCTAACATTTCAGGAATTAAAAAGGGAGGGCGTGATATAAAACAAAACAATCGCTTTAATTTGTTCACTTAGAAACTGTGCAGGATGTGAAGCATCTTTTATTCTCTTTAAAGTGAGAGCAGGTGTTTAATTAATCAGTCAGTCAATGTTAATTCACAGAGAACTTTAATACATTCGGCTTTAGAATCAAGGGTTTTACAGAGTTTAGCGACAGAAGGATGGACATGAAACCACTAAACACACTTAATGAGAAACCAAAGTAGATAAAAATGATATTTATAAGAAGACAATGAGAAACCTGTAAAGTGTCCTTTTTGGATCGTTGTATTAAAAATCCCAATTTGTCCTGCAATCTATGTCAGATGTTCTAACAATGAACAATCCTTCTCATTAACATTTTTTGTATCATTTTTAGGGGTTTTCTGGATTGCATGGGAGGATCTCTGTCAGTATTATGATGTCATTTATCTAAGCTGGAACCCGACACTGTTCAAGGAGTCCTCCTGCATTCACAGGTATGTTTGTGTACTGAATGCAACACAAGATTGTGTTTTACATGAATGTCTTTAGGGGTCGTTTCCAGTTTTCAGTATTTTAACAAGTGTACAACACATACTGCTATCAACCGTACTTCATCTTCCCCAAAGCTGCACCATAAATTTGGATTGATTTTCCCGTCTCTGTTTTATTATAGCATGGACTAAGAACATATGCGTAATTATGTTCTTAGTCCATGCTTATTTTTGTTACCCATTATTATGTGCATAATTATTGTTGCTTATATAAATAAATAGATATATAAATATAAGAAATAAATACTTATTAAAAGCAAGTCGTATGGAAACATCTTTAAAATAAATAAATGAATCTTTAAACTGATTCAACATCAACTTAAATGTACAAGTAGAGTAAAATGTGTAATAATATGAGGTGCAGTTCTGACATTACACTTGGATGACATAACTTTGGAGATATTTAATAAAGTTAAGGTATTTAACAGGAAATCGTTAAGTATCATTTATCACTTGTTTTAGTCAATATTTTACCTTCTGTCGTTTAAACTGATCCTGTATAAGGACATGTTCACTGTGTCTAAAATGCAGTATAAAATAAGCATAACAATGTAAGATTTTAACATAATGTTAAACAATGTTTTCCAAGCCTTTTGCTGAGTGTGATCCAATTTGAGTTGGCCTTTTGCGGGTTCTCTTAATTTTAAGAGAATTTAATCTTCGTAATGGTCAGTATACACTGACTGACTTTCAAAACCTAGAAACTCTCTTCATGGAGAACAGTGGTTGCAGTCTAGTCAGTGGTAAAGAAAGTATCTCCAAGAAAAAACTTTTGACACTATCCAAAAAAAGTAACGATCCAATGGAGTTTGTTACCAACTTTGAAGACGTTTTGCTTCCCATCCAGGAAGCTTTTTCACTTTAAACTGTCAGAAATAGCGTGGAGTTTTAGGCTTTATACAGTAGGGATGGGACGATTTATGAAAACCGTCCGAACCGTTCGGTTTGACTGTCTCNTTTTTTTTTTTTTCTTACAGGGACAAAACTGGGAAACTTGCTCTTTCTCCCAAACAGAAAGCCATCTTCTCCCGCTGGGTTCGGCCAGATGAGATCTGCAATAATCCCACCATGATCCTGTCTGTGTCCAGCTTCAGCATCAAACAGGTTCGCAGCTCATTCCAACTCATATGCTTATGTTGTCAGTATAGAAAGTTATTCCTTCACACTTTTTATTCTTTAATCTTTCATTTATTCTGAGTAAAGCTAATATCATTGATATGTAATGTCCAAATTACCCAGTAGGTGGTGCAACATTATCACAGGTATAGAGCATTTAAAGCAGAACAGAAGATTAGTCTTTAAAGTCAAAGCCCAGATTGATGCACGACACTGAAACAGTTTTCACTTTCACTGAGAACCGATGCAACCAGTGATAAAAAGTGATTTCTGATGGCTCTGAAAAGCTAATTGCACGTTGTGTGTCTTGAATTACCCATGTTTGTTTAGACGGTGGTCTCTGACTGTTCATTTGTGGCTTCACTGGCCATCAGTGCAGCTTACGAGAGGCGCTACAACAAGAAACTCATCACCAGGTATGACTGCAGCTTCTTTTTTCATTGCAACAGCATTCGGCTTATATAGAGCATAAGAACTAATATTTGTTTTTTTTTTCTCCACTGCAGCATCATCTACCCTCAGAACAGGCGAGGAGAACCAGAGTATAACCCCTGTGGAAAGTACATGGTCAAACTTCACATCAATGGAGTGCCCAGAAAGGTTACTATAGAAAACCAACTAACAGTATTATTGAAGAAAAATCTACTAATATCAAACTAATAGGATCCCATAAACCTCATTCAACAACACAGAGTTTAAAGATAGTTAGTTTATTCTATAAAAAATGCACTAAGCTGTAAAGGTAGTCACGAATTAAAACAGGGTTCCTGCGGTTCCTTAAAAAGTCTTAAAAGGCATTGAATTCTTCAAAATAAAACTAAGGCCTTAATTGGTATTAAAATGTCTTAAATCAGTCTTTCGTAGGTCTTAATTTTTAAAACATCATAAATAGGATTATTTTTATTACGATTTATTTTTGTAATCTAAATAAAATTGTTAAATTGAAAATGTATTTATTTATTTTTTATTAAAAAATAAATAACTGCTCGCCATTATTGGTTCCTTCCCAATAGCAGAACCAATAAAAACGCTGTTGCAGCCAGGACACTTGGGAGATGCACCATTAACTTTTTGTCTGGAAAATATGAGCAAGTGTAAATGTAACCAAAATTGGCTCCAGCCAAGAGTTTTCTCCATGGCTAAAACCAGGGAACATACATGAGGCTCAGTGGATTTAGTGCAAGAAGCGATTCAAGCTC